AAGGCTTAATGTTGTGTTCTCAGCATTTAATGGTCTCTATAGCAGATAAATCTTTACTGGGATTTCAAATAAAAGGGATACCTGATGGAAAATCAAGCCCTCCCCTATCCGCCTAAAATGCAGGAACTTGTTCTTGGTGCAATTGCTTCTTAATTTGTTCACCGCTGTGATTTGCAAGTCATATAATACACGTGCAGCTAATAAATACCAGGAAAAAAAAAAAAAATATATATATATATATATACAGAGTGTTTCTTTTATTTTTTGTTCAGTGCAAGTAAAGGTGCCCTTCAAATTGTTAGCAGAGATCAGCACAGGCTGTTCAGTGGAAGTATATTACTTTAAGTCAGGATTGTTCTTATTAGTTTGTCCTTATTAGTTTTTTTGTGAAGTCTTCCTTTTTATTTACATAATGTACATTGCTTAAAATGTTTCCTGTTAAATATAGTGATATAATCTGTGTAATTTGTATACTTGGAGGTTTACCAAGCCCAAGAAAGTGGCTAACGGAAATGTAGAGATTCTGTGTATGGGTTTTGCTGACTTATCTTGGTCATTGAATGTTCAGCTAATTATTTAATACTACAATATGGCTTTTTTCCAGAAAATATGTTTCCTTTGGGTTAGTGCTTATCATTACAACATACAATTTCAAATAGTCCTGTGCCTACTTTTTGAGCAGAAAAAAACATTAATTTACCTTATTTCCGCATGAGCCCTGCACTTTTATTTTCAGGCTTTCAGAGATTGATATAGCTTGAGTATTTATAATGTAAAATAACAAGAGGTTTCATGGCCAAAACAGTGATTACAAACTTGATTAGCATCCAAGACAAATGGTGTACCCCAAGGCAGCCCCAAAGCTGTGATCACAACTGGCTCCAGAGCTTGCCAAGCAGCCAGATGCCTTTATTGGAAAGCTCTTTGCTGCAGTTTAGCACCTGAGTCCTGAGCAAGAGAAAAAGTCTGACCTCGCACTCCCACGTGACGCCAGACCGTTGCTGCAGAATGCTGCGTCAATAAATGATAAAGAATCTGTCCATGTTATTATTATCTTCTCCAACTTGCACGCCACACTTGTAAAAATATATTCCGGGCCTTCCAAATTTCCTCTAACATGGCACAAAGCAAAACACACAAACATCTTTTTGTTTGAAATAAAATGTTGTCTAATCCAAATGAAAATGTGTTTGTTTTCTTTTTGACTCATGTTTTATTGAAAAATTCCAGTCCAAATAATAAAGGAATAGTAGTAATAATATTTACCATCACATTATATATTTACACAGGGTGAAGTTAAACAAAAAGGCAGCCGTTCCATCTGTACTGACCTTTTTCCTGACCAAGTGTTCTGTGTTAGCATTTTAGTGGCAACGGAATCAAAAACATATTTTTAGATCTTTTACTTAAAGATATAGTTCAGTTAAATCCGTATTAATAAAATGTTGTACAATATTGGCTAATATTAGAAATGAAGAGAGAGAATTTAGGAGATACCTAAGTAGCTAGTAGTGTTTTATTATATTACTGTGAGGAACAAGAATTAACTAATATATACACTATACTGTATTGTACTGTAAACTATATTGAACATATATGTGTGTATAACATCCTTCTAGATTCAGTGTCATGGTGCAGGATTCAGCATGAGAACAATGTATATTGGGAAGTTGTTAATTACAGGTTGATATTTCATCTGAAAACAGCGATTTTTATCCTTAACAGCTCTGCTATTGTCCTAGTACTATAGTCAAGTGAACATTGGCACATACCGTAACTAAAATTTATTATGCTGTTGCTAAATTGTGTAAGTGTGGTTACCTTTATTGTGGAAATATTTGTAGTGCTTTTTAATAAGTTGGCCAAAGATGGATTGAAATGTAACCAGTTCAGCAGGGACTGGCCGAATTTCGAACCATCTGTTGCCATTCCCATTCATGAACAGGCTTGTTGAAATTTTGTTTTCAACCAGTGCCACAGCTATTCATATGCAGCACTGATCAGTGTATTCTGACAGCAGAGGATTACCCACTCTCAGAAAACAGTAGCATAGGAGGGAGGATTCCTCTATCCACCTTGCTTGTATGGGTGTGGGAATCCATTCAGTTTTCAAGCAGTCCACTGGGATTATTGAAAAAAAAAACTGATCCATGTCTGGACAGCTTTAGATATATTCTTTAAACGCATACCCCACCCAAATCTCAAAAGTAGCCTTTGAAATGTATATGGGGGGTAGGCAGTCTAAATATCCAAAGCTATTTTTTTTACGTTTTCCAGCTGCTAGAAATCTCCTTATTACAGGTCAGGTTACAGTTTGAACATGGGGTATAGTATAGATCCTGCGCCCCAGTGCTTAGTTCCTCATGGGTTAGGGGACTGCATTATCAGGCTGATAGCATCACCCCTTGGATCTCCAGCTTCTTCCCTCATCCAGTTCCATATTATTTAGCAAAACCTATCAAGATTTGCAAAGACAATCACAATGCTGCCCTTGTTGTCAGCCAATTTGGCTGGAGTTGCTTTTTAAGCTTAATGGAGTCACTTATAAAGGTACAATGTCTGTCAACATTGTAAGTACTGGAGGATGATCCAGTTGTCTGAGAGTAACCTTAGATTTTACTAGATACTATAGGATGTTTCAGCGTACGGATGGTACTGGGGCTTGTCTTTTTTGTGTTTCTGTACACAAAATGCAGAAAAACATCTTTTTTGGGGGGCAAAATTCTTGAATGTGTCTGAATGGCTGTCATCTGATGACTATTAGTGTCCCGAAGATCACAGTAACATTGCTAAGCACATCTAGACCATGGACACGTGGAAAACATATCTTAATCTGCACTTTGCCTCTTTTTCCAAAACATAATTTCTTGAAATGCTTGTAGTGATTTTTTTGTGTGTCTGAATTACTCTATTGTAATGGAATTCTATGTAACTGGTATAGTATTTTCTATTGTTTTGTCTTTTTTGACAGTTTCAATAGACACATTAACAACTGCTGCTAGTTTGGCTGACAGTATGTATGGTTACAACTTTCCCTCTGTTCAGTTTTAACTCTATTTTACTCCTGAATGTCACTTCAATTCATTTCATTATTCTTCCCAGGCTAGGATTAAGCTTCTGGGCATAAATTTAAAAAATGTGAAAGCTGTAAATCTGTTGATTTCAGAAATTGCCTATTAAGTTGTTAATTGTGATGCTTTTTAATAGACAAGCATATTAATCTTATAAAGAATCTTTTATATTTTTTAGAGGACTATTTTCCAAAGTCTGGCATACTTAAAGCCAAGTTATGGCTTAAAGTAAATTTGTCAGTTTAAAACATCTATAAACTGTACACTGTGTCTAGTTTGCTGTGTAAACTGGACAAAGCATAGAGGTTTCCCAAGTCTGCCCACACAGATAGGGTACCAAAATAACACATGCAAGTTATAGGTATGTCAGCTAATATTTGGTCTGTCAGTGCAAAAAAACACAATGAGGCTTCGTTCACACTAAAAAGGGTTCCCAGCTATATATAATGCTCTCACCTTCCATGAAGGCAATAGCAAATGTAGACTTGTCATACAAATCAGTCTGGTCTACTCATAACTTTGTGTCCCATGTGTTGTGGAAAAAGCAAACTGGATGAGTTTTTAATTTAAATGTTTTATTGAGTATTTCAGCATGGTATCATGCAGTTTGAAAGTGACAAATATCACAATACAATATTCATCAATAAATATCTGAGCCATCGCAATCACTGCTAGACAAAGTCATCTGACTGGCAAATACTGCAAACGGTACATTCAAAGAGTCAACATCAGCAAGTTGTTTTAAAAGTACCATCTCTGGAACTAGTTTCTACTATTACATCATATACACACATGTATGCTGTTGTATCCGTTTTTCAATAAAAATGTGCAAAACCGAAAGTAGAAGTAGTTTAGTACAGCTTTTAATAGGGACCCCAAGCAGGGCATACTGGGATATGAAGACAGATGTAGAATTAAGTGTTCAGAGGGGAAAAGCGAAGAGGAAGAGAAAAAGGGGGGGGGGGGTAGAAAAATGGAGGGGGGAGGTAAATGGAGTAGATGATCCCCCCAAAAGCTGAGACTGTGAGGACCCAGACAGTACCAAGTACAGGAAGTCTCCCAAGTATGTAGGGGCTCAACCGTAGGCAAATCGCTACTGTGTGTTCCGGAAGCCTGATTTATATGAGAGTAGAGGACACATAGGTACTGTAGGCTCGGGAATATCGCAAATTATGCCAGTAGAACCAAATTGGTATGGATGAGCTTAACAGCATTATCATTGCATTTTAAGGGCCCACAGAAACTAATCCTAATGCAGAAAGACCCATAACATTTTACTATGTTTCAGTCTTTTCTATTCCCCAAAACAAGCACGAAAAACAGCTCATACCAGTGTGACTTATTACCACAGACATATTTCTATGGGCAACATAGACATGAATGTCTATACGTATTGCATGCAGATCCAATCTGTTTCTTATATTTGTACCTAGCTGTAGTTAAAATCTCTAGATTTGCATAGAGTTTGAACATTAAACTCCTTCCTGAACAGACTGGAGTTTTGATAACTTCTGTGTCATACTCAATTAAAGGATATAGTGGTTTCGAACTGACAGACTCGCTTTTTATAATCTAATATGGCTTCATAGGCAGCTTCCACTGTACAGATCTGTATGATCTCAGTGACAGCAAACAGCAGGGAACTTAACTTTGGTAAAGTTATTCCTAAAGGTAAATTCATTTAAAGTCCTGAGGCGAAATGTGTAGAACACTGAAATATCTTGAACAGTGTTTGATCACAGGCACCCAGGGAACTTGTGATGAGAGCTGAAAGAATGGTGGCTCAAGACCTGTTCAATTAAATATTGTGATAACAGTAAATGTTTCAGCCTTTCTTCTTAAATTAATCTTTTTGATTAATGCTGAAATACCTTCATAATGAATGACAGCCCATACTAATGTTTTCTATTCATTTTCATTTCTTTGCAGCCAAACAGCAGCGGGCAAGTCGTTGGGAAGGTGCCTGGCCACTTCACTCCAGTGTTGGCCCCATCACCCCATCATGGAGCAGTTAGACCTGTGACACTGACCATGACTGACACAAAGCCTATCACTACATCCACTGAAGGTGAGGTACATTCACTAGCAATGGCATGTTATAACCCATTTACTTATGAAAAGATCTTAGTTGTACAGTACAGGACACAGACAAAAGTATTTAAAAACCCTGGGTTTTAGGCTTGTACCTTCAGGTGACTGCACATTGGCAAAGCTTTCAAGGACCCCACTCCATGGGTTCTCAGTTTTTTGCTATTGTCTTAAGGTGATGGACCTCTTCTCTCTTGCAAAGAAATCACTCTTAACTAGTTTATTATTTTATCTTCTGATTCTTCAATCAACTCTTCAATCATCTCCTTTACTGTCTTTTAAGCACTGACTTCTAATCTAGGTTATGTAAAGAATTCCATTTTGACTAAAATTTCCTCACTGTCATCCTAATGCTGGGGTTTTTCTTAATGCATATTTATTTTTTAATTTTGTCTTATGGCCTGTAGCAGTTTCCAGCACTATTTCACTTTCACTCATATATTTTGCCTTCAGAACAGGGATAAATAACAAATGTCTCACTTAAGACTCCATCAGTAGCCAATAGCTGAGAAACCAATGGGACTTTGTACATTTTAAGTGTATTAGGCACCTATAAATGACCATTTTTAATTTTAATCTATTGTTTAAAGATTAGAAACCCACTTTCCATGTGGAAACTACTGCACTATACATACGCTGAGGACGCCTGTTAGCTGAGTTGGAGAAAATAATAAAAAAGAGGTCCTGGCTTTTGGCAGACATCTCACCTCCTGTCATTCTCAATGTGACATCTGTGGATAAATGGCCAACCTAACCAAACAATAATTACAGATTCTATATAAGCATAGGCATACACATATCATCGGATGCAGCCAAATTAACCAGATGATTTCAGCAGTTGATGAGATGCATGTGGAACCAAAAGCCAGTTTTAAAAAGACTGGGAATATGTGCTCCCATTGACTACCAGGCTAAAAATGGATTAATTCTGCACGTTTTGTCATATTGGCCATCTGGCACCTGGGACTTTCCAGTTCCATATAGCATATAATCAGTAAACATAACTGTGTCATGTAGACTATAATGCTTTAAAAAATATTATACTGTGTTTTTGGTAACACATACATACTTTTACACGCGTTTTCAAGTACTTAAATGCATTATTCAAAGGTCATATTGTTTGTTAGTTACACTTTCATTGAACTAGTTTCAGTTACACTATACACCACAGAATTATACTCTGCTCAAAAAAATGAAAGGAACACTTTTATTCCAGAGTTGATCTGGTCAGTTAAGTAGCAGAGGGGGTTCTTAATCAGTTACAGCTGCTTTGGTGTTAATTAAATTAACAACAGGAGCACTGGATGGACAACAATGAGATGACCCCCAAAACAGGAATGGTTTTACAGGTGGAGGCCACTGACATTTTTTCCCTGCTTATCTTTTCTGACTGTTTTTGACTAGTTTTGCATTTGGCTAGTGCCAGTGTCACTACTGGTAGCATGAGGTGATACCTGGACCCTACAGAGGCTGCACAGGCAGACCCAAATGCTCCAGGATGGCACATAAATACGTGTCATTGTCAGAAGGTTTTCTGTGTCTCCCAACACAGTCTCAAGAGCATGGAGGAGATTCCAGGAGACATGCAGTTACTCTAGGAGAGCTGGACAGGGCCGTAGAAGATATTTAACCCATCAGCAGGAGTGATATCTGCTCCTATGTGCAAGGAAGAACAGGATGAGCACTGCCAGAGTCCTACAAAATGACCACCACCAGGCCACTGGTGTGAATGTCTCTGACCAAACAATCAGAAACAGATTCATGAGTGTGGCCTGAGGGCCCGACATCTTCTAGTGGGCCCTGTGCTCACTGCCCGGCACCATGGAGCTCGATTGGCATTTGCCATTGAACACCAGAATTGGCAGGTCCACCACTGGCACCCTGCGCTTTTCACAGATGAGAGCAGGTTCAGCCTGAGCACATGTGAAAGACATGAAAGGGTCTGGGGAAGCCGTGGAAAACGTTATGCTGCCTGTGACATCTTTTAGCATGACCGTTTTGGTGGTGGGTCAGTGATGGTCTGGGGAGGCATATCCATGGAGGGACGTACAGACCTCTACAGGCTAGACAATGGCGTCCTGACTGCCATTAGGTATCGGGACGAAATCCTTGAACCCATTGTCAGACCCTACGCTGGTGCAGTGGGTCCTGGGTTCCTCCTGGTGCACAACAATGCCCGACCTCATGTGGTGAGAGTATGCAGGCAGTTCCTGGAGGATGAAGGAATTGATACCATTGAATGGCCCCCACGCTTGCATGACCTAAATCCAATAGAACACCTCTGGGATATCTTGTTTCGGTCCTTCCAATGCCGCCAGCTTGCACCTCAGTCAATGTTAGGCATGCTTACAAGCACATGGGGCCACACAAACTACTGCGTACCATTGTGAGCTGCTGCAATGTAATTTCAGCAAAATGGACTAGCCTGCTGCATTATTTTTTCACTTTGATTTTTGGGGGGGTGTCTTTAAATTTGAGATCTGATGTGTTTTTAAAGTGTTCCTTTAATTTTTTTGACCAGTGTATTTATGAAAGATATCCATTGTGAAAGTATCCAAGAATGAGATTGGTAATGCACACGTAAAGTGCAAATACAGACTGTATATGTGTATGCAGCATTATTTCCATATTTCTGGCATTTCTGTTTGCTACTTTATAGTTATTTGTACAAAACAGAAGGTGTGGTTCACATTATTTCTGAAAGGTGGCAGTGGCATTGGAATATGCTGCTGGTAGCTCTTACTGAGCCAGTCGCAGAATAACAGGAAGACCAGAACATGTTTTAAAGGATAAGTTCACCTTTTTGACAAAAATAATACACACACATTTTTATACAGTTAAAAAAAAAAAATGTGCATTTATTATTTTTGTCTGTAAGAGCATGGAAAGCATTGCACCAGCGATCAGTAGATCGCTGATGCCATACAGGTATCCGGCAGACCTGTCAGAATAGCTGCTTGCCGTACGGGATGTACGAGGATGCAGATAATCTGACAGGAAGCTTCAATGAACTACCACAGCGCTCCACAGTAGTTCATTGAAAACTACAAGCCGACAGCCCCTAAGGCCGCTGGACTTGTAGGCACTCATTCACAGAGCTCTCTGGCTGAGTGGCTCGGAGACTTTCTCAGCTAAGGGTCCAGCTGCATTTTTTAATGGTCCAATAGAAATTAGATGATTTTTGCCCACTTTAGCCTATTAAAGATGGAATTGGAAACTATGTCTGACATATGTGGCACCTACTGGCTGATTAAACTTGGGCAAAGGATAGATGGTATGGGTGTGATTTTCCTAGCCAAGTACTATTGTTGCCCTGACTTAGAACCATTACCATAGACAAGTAATAAGCATGCATATGAATGCCTTTATCATTCTATTGGCGTTAATCATCCAGTGTCTATAGGTATGTTAATTTTGTAGCAACATTGTTACAAAGCATTCTGTATGTATAATATGAATAAGCGTACTTAAATATGAAAAAGCTGTTTGCAGCCAAATTGAAATAACACCTTCTTTATGTTTGTTACTTGTTTCAGTTTATATAGTATAACTTTAAAAAATATTTAAAAATAGCTGAAAAATAACTGAAAACTACTTAGCTTATCTTTCCCTGTAATATGTGCACAAGAAGTTGATGTTTACCATAACTAACCCTGTCTGCACTGTGCTAGCAGAATTCTTTATCAGTTGTAAGCTAGATTTGAACACGGTCTATCGTAACAAAAGGTTAAAGATCTATAAGCTGGGTTTCTTGCATTGTATGTTAATGAGGGAAAACTCAATGTTTCCTCAGTCTGTGAAACTGTTCACAATAGCTTGCAGTCTGCCCAGGGATTTGCTCCATACAACCATCTAATGGTAAGAAGTATTTTTTCTTTAAATGTATTTTTTGGTGTGCTGTGTGAATAATAGCATAATTCATAACACATATATAGGTGGGTTTTCTCAAATTTGACTGAAAAAGTTGAAATACACTTTGAAGCCTCCTTTTTGAGAGGCACAAACTTAGAATTCAATGCATCATAAACCAGGCTGCTCACAATATGAAAGGGGTTAAGAGTCGCATCAAGAGATTAGCTAATCTCTAATTGAAGATTCCTTGAGGATGTAAAATGGTAAAAGGCATGCTAAATGCAAGTATGACAAATGCTTGATTACATGGATGATAATATGATTTTTGTAACATTACTTGATAAAAAGACCCTGTAACTGTGCGGAGAATGCCTACATTGATGCCATGCATTTGCATTTTATTTTATCTGGTAAAATGCAAAGTTTGATTTAATTTAATTATTACATAATACATTTAATCAGTAGAGTGAAAACGTATGTAAAAGTATACAACAGAAACATGCATGATGGTAAAATTGAAAAGTATTTATAGAAATATTATTAGATATCTATCTTTTAGGTAGAGATTGACAGGGTGGCTCACCCACAACTTCCCATGTCTTGCATATCTTGTTTCCAGTAGCAAGGTTTCTGCACCTATTTTCTAGGGTCAAGGGAATGCAGAGGTGGGGGAATACAAGGTTGAGGGTGTTGCCATTGGAGTGAGTGGTGGTTTGTGTTAATTATGTTACGTTAAAGGAGGAGGCAAATTTGAGTAGTTGAAAGGTGGCTAAGTTAACATTGACTGGAAATCACCGAGGATGATGGTGGGTACTTCAGAACACAGAAACTAGTGTAGCCATGCATAAAAGTCATTGAGAAAGCAATCCTCAGACAAACTGGAGTAAAAAAGAGATGAATACAGTGCACTTCAGAAGAGCAGAGGGACATAGGGAGGTGTAGGAAGAACCTGGAAGGTGCTTTGTGTGGAAAGGAGAAGTCCAACTCCACCTTTTTTGTCCACTGAGTCTGGGTAAATGATTCCAGTGGAGACAGTCATGAGAGAGGGCAGCTGGAGAGGCAGAGCTGGATTCCTGGATTCAGGTTTCAGTAACAGCAAGTAGGTTGAGGGAGTTGGACAGGAAAAGATCCCCTTTATTTTACATTACAGAGAATCCAGCAGAAAGATTAAAGCTCAGTTCATACAGGCCAAAAATCATCCGAAAACCTTAGATTCGGCAGGAACCATCTGACTTTCAGCTCGTGTACAGCTCCTCGTCTGACAGAAGCCGGTCTCATGACTGCCGTCTGTCGAATGGGCATGCTGGAAAAACAGCATCCGATCAGCATCCAATCAGTGCTGGTAGCCAATAGCTGCAAGATTTGACCGGTTTGTTCCCCCTGTCAGAGCACAATAGCACAGCGGAGGACATCGCTATACTAACATCGCTTGTGTTATTACAGCAATCAGCCCAGCCAAAAAACTCTTGGTGCGTACCAGGCTTAAAACTCTGTCAATTGGCAAAATCCAAAAAAAGGTGTTATCTTTCACTGGAATTTCCAAAAAAAAAGTCAATTTGTGAGTCATCATGTGAATGTACACTCTAAATTGAAGTGTTCCGGACCCTTTTAATTTTTTGTCTTAAAAATACAAAGTCATGGCTATGTACAATATATTTCTTTTGCAATATTTTCCAATTTGGGTCTACTTGTATTTCATTGTCTCTTTTTCTTTCCTCACAGCCTACACAGCCTCTGGCACATCACAAGCCAACCGATACGTGGGACTAAGCCCAAGAGATCCAGCCTTCCTACACCAGCAACAGGTGGGCTGTTTTCATATCAGGTGTAATGATTCTGAGATGCCTGGGATAGTGTCATAGAAGCCTGCATGCTGCCACTCATAGCTTGAATTAAAATTAGATCCCACTGTTCTCTGATCATGACTAGGCTTGCCAAATCTCAACACATTTAATTGAAATGTGGCATCATGAAAATAGTTTCCCTTAGGATAACTAACCAACTTATTATATTAGTTTAATTGTAAGCCAAAGTCACACAGAAAGCACTATCATTTTTATTTAATTCTTTCTTTTTGAAAAAACTTACAACAAATGTAGCAAAATGTGCCCAAAATGCATTACGAGGTGTAGCTAAAAATTAGCTTTATATCGGTATATTATTACACATGTGTTTACGTACTTGTGTGGCAGGAGCTGAACTGTAGTTAATTTACACAACCCATTTTATGTCAAAGGGAACTCCACGCTTGCTGTGTTTTTTTTGCTGTTATAAGTTATCTTTCCTTTTCTCGATTTACGTTGCTAGTTGTGACGGTACAATTGCAGGATGGTATCACACATGCAGTAGAGGAAGGTCAAAGTAAGCATGCAATTCCACTGAATTTTGTGTTTCAGTAGAGCAAGGATTAGCTTCTGCTTCAAAAATTAGACAGCTTCATAAACATAAATTGTATTTCTTGCTTCATATTTAAAGATGCATAGATCTAAAAAGAATCTATAAAACTTTCTGTTACTTACAGTCAGATTCAAAGTTACAGACACAGATTGTCAGTGGAAATGTAAAACTAATTATTGGCTATATCCAACAATCATTTAAATTGAGCCAACAATTTTTGTACTCAGTAACCTACCCATGGGTACCAGAAAACATTTCTTTTATTCAGTGTATACTTGATATACATCTTTGGTAATGCTATGTGTTTGTGTACAGTCTTGGAAATTAATTTTCATGTGGAGATGATTTTGGTTCATTTACCTATAAAGCATTTTCTAAAACAGTGTTGTAAAATCAGTTTTCTAACAACTTAATAGGATTTCTAGCTTAAAGTGGTTGTAAATACTCACATATAACCTTTAAGTCTAGCCTCAGGTGATACACAGAGATGAAGTCCTCCTAAATAAGTTGTACCTGTTTATCAGAAGTATTCTCTTCTCTACAGCCCTCTACAGCCATTCAATGTGCAGAATTTGTACAGCTTGTCTGAGATTTCAGAAAGCAGGGAGCATACAGCTAAAGTTACACTCTGCAGACCTCAGTGAGGAGAGCTGAGAGCTGATTAAAGGGAAGGGACACCCCCCCCTTTCACACAGCACACAGGAACAGAGCTGAGGCTGTCAGTCAGAGGCTGTGTGCTGGAGCTACCTCCCCTCTCACCTTTTACCTCTTGGTGTCAGGAAAGCTTGTCAAAATTGACTTATGCTGGTAGCAGAGTAATGGGGCCAAAGAGAGAAATAACACTTTGGCTCTGGATTGAGACAAGTACACACTATAGATGGATATACTTTGCTCATATTTCATGTCTGAGGTCAATAACCCCTTTATAGTTTACCATAGATGTTAATTTTTTTTGTTTGTTTTTCATTCAACTATCAGGCTGGATGAAAAAAAAAAACAAACAGGTTCCTTCATTCACACAAACGAGGTGGATGAGGGAATCCTCCCTTCCCAGTTGCAGCATTATATTCTGACAGTGGGATTCTCTTCTGTCACAATACACTGATCAGCAACTGAAACCGATTGACTGCTGCTAAAGATCAACTTCTGTTTAATAGGGACAGCCACACACTGATCGAAATTTAGCTGGTCCCTACTGAACTAGACACATTTCAATCTTTCTACAGCCAGTTTAACATGAACTTGGCCAGGTCTAAAAATATTTTAAATTACAACACTGAGGTACTTATCCCTGTCTTCAAGTCATTCCTTTGATTGCACACAGCAAGGGTCTAAATTCCAGAGTCCTTACCTTTAATTGTTCACGTCTATACTACCAACAGAGGCTCTAGTATTTCTCTTTTCAATGACAAGGGGCATGAATAATCATTGTTCATCATCAGTCCTGGCCCTCTGTTTAACCTGGGCTCAAGATCCCAGGGGATTCACAGAGACCCAAGAGTCCTGCATTCAGTACTGCTGTTACCTTTATGCACTTTTTAGGGCAAGACACATCTACTGGCTCCTGTTCTGCTACTCAAGCCCCTAATAAAAGTAGCTGAATGCTGGCCACATGCTGTCTAATTTTGAGGTTTTTTCAACATTGACATACAGGACATGGTATTTCACAAACGGTACAGTAATAGTCTGTAACACTATCAGGAGTGCTTTGGTAGTTGCAATCACTTATTATTCCATAAATTAACCACCATTATACTATCATTGCTTATATTTTAATATTTTAACCAGCTAATACATATTTAATACATTAAACAAGGTATTTTAAGCAGTAATGGTCTCTAACCACTATAAAGTCACAGCAAAAGCTGCTTTCAATCACAGGGCAGCTTTAAAAGTGCATCGTAGTTGTGGGGAGATCATACTGCACATTTTGGAACCTATCAGTTATCAGTAGTATCTGCTGAGCCATGTGCTTAGCATCCCTTGGGTTTCTGATCCTGCTGTGGAACACACTGTGAATGTACCCTGTAACACAATATTAGCACAGTACTTGAGGCTGTCATGCCATCCTATAGTTATGTTAAACATAAAAGGCAGGAGATGAACAGTAGCCCTGGCCACTTCATCTCAGAGTTTAGTGTAAACAGGGCAAACATTCGGAGGGGCAGTGAAGTTATATGTTGAAAGTAGGCTGAGCTTAGTGTCAGAGAGCCCTAAGTAAAATGGCAATTCACCAGGTTGTACAATTTGGGTTGCAGCTTGATATGCGACAGCATGCTTATCATCGGATAGGATCTTTGAGGTAGGTATAAGATATAAAGTCTGTATCCGCTGAGTGTATAAGAGTGCTTGGCAGCATTGGCTGAATGTATTGGTAGGGTGTGCTCTCCAAGCACTGTGCTGTATGTGACAAACTCAAGACTGGCCAATTCTGTACCATTGTGCATTCCACCCCAAAGAATGGGCAAATGTTTTCGTTAGTTGGTTCATTATTGCAAGTCCATCAAATACTAATGCAAGTGTGCACAATGTCAATCAACAGATTCATTTAATCCATGTACATTGTGATGTTATGTTAAAGGGAATAAAGCTTGCATAGAAAAACAGGTTTTGACTTTGAGCCTAACGTCATCGCTACTTTCTGTAAAATCACACTTATAAGGTATCCTTATACTTAGCAGACAACAGGCTCATTGCAAAAACTCATATCTATGTATTATTTGCAACCGTGCTAATTATTTTCAGCAATGTGACTGCTATATTTTCAGCTATCATTGCTGAAAATAATGGTCGTTATGGCAAATAAGAAATGTAAAACCATTTGAGCCTCCTGTTGGTCCTGTTTTAGGATTCTTGTCTGGGGCTGTGCTAGATACCTAAAAGTAGCTTTGGGAAACAATACGGGAAAATGCAAATGCAACAACACAGGACATGCTAGTATCACTCCCACCAAATCTAGAAGAATCTATATAGGCCAAAAATGGCACTCTGTGTACAAAACAGTTGCTGTTGCACAAACTGTATTTGCCCTCCAAATGTTAATGAAGTTTTACATCCCCTTTCTGGGATCTGCTTAACTGGCTGGCTGCTGGTTTTATGTTTATAGCTAACTTGATTACACAATATCTATCTTAATTTAGTACCTAATTATTTCTAGCTTTACCACAGTTACAGAGATTATAAAATCTTGGTATCTCAGTTGAACAGACAGTCTGAGTTCCAACCTTCAAAAGTCAGATTTTTTTCTCTGGATCGATAATGCCATTGAAACTCAGTATATGTCTTGTAGCACTAATATCAGTATCACTTTAGGTGCTCATTGTTTAAGACTTGACATTTCTATTCTGTATGGTAATGGTACACCTAATAAGGGGATTGTTGCAGCAACAACTTTGTCACAATGTATCACTAAGTGAAGGTTTCCTGTTACGAATATTAATCTCTACTTTCTGATCTTGACAAGGTGACTTGTTGAATTATTTTAATTCTGTGTATGAATTGTTGGAAGGATTTCTGTTGTCACATGGCAAGGCTTTATTCACACAAGCTTTTTGTTTCATTATACTGGACTGCTTTCCAGCCTTGGTCTAATAGCTACCAACAACTATTAGAGGTTTATATAACTTATAGCATTACTGACAAAGTTGCCTTTTATCACCATGCTGGTGAAGGTGAGATAGTGCTTGCCAGGCTTGCAAATTAATCTTTTGTCTGAACAATTGTTCTGTAAACAGTTACAATGTTCTCTACTGTAGAAAAAAAAATAGTTTAAAATTACACATTTGATAGTTCCAAATAATATCAAACACAGGAATGCATATTGAAAGAGATTGTTACTTTATCTTTAGATACGAAAATAGACATCTGAACATGTTATGAATTCCAGTAGTAGATGTCAGAAAAGTACAGCTCTTCATTAGATTGTAGTGAGCATGACCAGCTTTACCACTAGGAATAGTAGGCCTTCAGCCAAGAATGAGAGGTGTATTATAGGCAAAACATTTTTTTTTGGTAGAATAGAAAAGGGCTAAAACCTCTACCAGGGATATATTATTGTCTCCCTGCAGAGGAGATATACCCCTCTTTATGGATATCACTTGAATAGTGGGTATATCAAAAAATATCATGAATGCTCTCAAAGTTTGAAATTCTGTATGATTTTTGGTATGAGATACAAATCTATGTATGAGATAGGGCAATCACTTTTACTTGCCATGGTCTGCAACATTGTACATATTTAGTTAGTTTTAGTCTGTACAGTTCAGTAATATATTTTTCCCTTAGCAACCTCATCATCTGTACACAACTATGCAGAAAGTGGAGCAATTAGTGCTATTAAGCTTCGCCAGCTAAACTTATTTATACATTTAGAAATTTCAGTCCATTAACTTTGAGCACAGTATTCTAA